TGTTTGTTGGGGGGGCCGCTCCCCCCGCACAAGACAACGAAAGAGAAGAAGTAGCAAAATATGTTTTGAGTCCCCCCCCCCCCCCCCCCCCCCCGGCCATTTTGTTGCATTGCAACTTCTCTATATCCTGTTGGTTTATGGTGCCACCTGGTGTTCTGCATGAAAATTACACTCCCTGGGCATCTCCCATTACCTGTGCTTTGGGGGAAGTTGGGTATCTTCGCATATTCAAACACGACTTGGTCCTTCAGGAGGTCAGCCAGCCCTCCAAGTCCTGAGCCACAGATGATAGCCACTCGAGGCCGATGTTTGGTTTTACTGAGGAGCCAGTCTGCTGTCCGCTGATAATCCTCATAGGTGTATCTGAAACAAGAAAATATTGAGATGAGATGAGATAAACTTACCTGCAGGACTGGGGTTTCACCAGTAGATGGCAGGAAATATGCACACAAAACTCTAATGAAGGGTATTTAATTTGAATTCCAAAGAAACCACACTAAAATAAACTGTTTTTGAACAGGCAGGACGGGGGAAGTGGCAGGCAATCGAACCAACCAGATATGGGAAAGGAAGGAAAGGAATAACTCAGCTGTCCAAATATTATGTGAGACGAGAAAAAAAAGCCACATTAAGTCTTTCAGTTGTTTCTCCCACAATGACACACTCAATTCATATACAGTATATTAGTAATCCACCCCATAAAGATTTCTAATATTTTCATTATGCTCATATTCTACGTGTTCGTTCCAGACTTCACAAAGGCCTCGGTGACTAGAGGTAGTCCTCAGCCACCACTGAGCCCAAAATTTCTGCTGCTAAGCGAGACAGTTGTTAAGTGAGTTCTACCCCATTGTAAGGAGAAAAATCCAGTCTGGTTCCAAGACTGGGAGAAAGATGGTGGAAATAAAATGGAGTCTGGCTACAAGGAAAGGTCTCTGTCAATTTGGTTTCTAGAAACTTCAGCAAATGTTTCTGGGGTGGCTGACAAAAATGGCTGAATGAGAGGATAGATGTTTATAGGGTTCTGGGATTTGGTGATTGAGATGCTTCAGGGGTTTGTGCAAGGAAGTGAGCCTTATGTCTTTTACTATTTCAGCTGTGGTGGGTTAATCCTATTATGTCCTAAAGATCATATCCTGTCCTTAGAATTTGGGCTGGGGATATAAATTCTTAATCCCATCAGCTCCAGCCTTCTGTGGCTGAAGGCGTTAGATTGGCCCAGTCTTTCTGAATTGACACAAGATCTCAATTCCTAAAAACTCATCAGCCTCCCTGTTTCCAGCCCTCTGGAGCCTCCGGGAGGCCTATTTTTCACTCTCCCCGAGCCTCCATGTGGGCCCTATACTTACCTGGGATCCAAAATGGGTCATATGGGGACTCCTGGGTGGAGTGGGCAGAGCCAGCCAGGGGTGAGACTTGCTGGTTTGCTGAACCGGCCATAAAATTAGCTACTGGTTCGGTACTGGTTTGCCTCAGTTCAAGCAAGGCGAACTGGTACCGGTTCAGTACTGGTTCGGTCAAACCGAGGTGAACAGTAGCAGTCCACCCCTGCTTTCAATGGTCATAAGTGTGAAATATGGTCCTAAGTCACTTTTTTCAATGCTGTTGTAATTTCAAATGGTCACTAAACAAATGGTTGTAAATCAAGCACTACTTGCATTCAGAATACAAACAGTCCTCAGCTTACAACCATTTGATTTAGCAAGCATTCAAAGGTACGACAGCACTGTGATATGTGACTTAAGGCCAATTTTCATGCTTTCACTGTTGTAACATCCCTCAGGGGGTTGTGTGTCACGTGACACTCGGCAACCATTGCACATTGCAATCACAAGATCGCCACTTGTGACCTTCACACCCAAGCATGCAACAACTTGAAAGCCAGCAGGAAAAGTTACAGCTCAGTGTCACATGATGTCTCACTTAATGACTGCCACAAAAAAAATAACAATAGTAAAATCGGGTACGGTCACCTGACACGTCATTTAACAACCACATTCCTTAATAATGATTTTTACAATCCCCCTTATGGTCATAAGTCGAGGCCTACACTTGTAAACATTTGAACTCTCATAACTTCCTGGTAAGCTAGACTATGCTAAGAAAGGGAGAACGTTCCAAACGGACTGCTGAACTTAAAAGTAATGGAGAAAGGAGAAAGATCTGAAGCAAATATTTCCTATATTATTACAAGCTAGTGATTCGTAGTTGATCCAGTATTCAAAGAAAGAAGACTTTTTATTTGCTCCATTAGTACTTCTTTAAATAAAAAATTCTCCTTCCAAATATACAATCCAAATTGCATTTTTTTCCATAACTCAAGAAGCTCTTTTTAACACGGATCATCCTCTTTTCTCTCTCTCTCTCTCTCCCATCCTCCCTCTCTTTCTCTCTCTCCTTTTTCTGCACCCTTTGCATTTCTTCCTGGGCCATTTCAATCCATGAAGCTAAAGAAAAGTTCTAGAAAAGACTCGTGCACAATTGATTTTATATGCGGTAATTGCAGGGAGTTTATCTGTACGCACAAAGATGGAAGAATACAGAAATAACCACAATGGAAGACTAGATAGTGAAGGTGGCTGAGTTTGCAGAAATAGCAGAGGTGACCAGTTTGATTAAGGAGGGAATAGCAACTGTATTTTTATAAAAGACTGAAAAAACCTTTATGGGTTTTTTTTTTTTTTTTTTTTGCTGAAGCTGGCAGAAATAAAGTGGTGATTTGGAGATTTACTGATTATAATGTGTTGTTTATGGGAAGAAGGGAACCTTGGAATGTAATTTAGGAAAATGACAATCATTATGCTTCTTCCTGCTGCAAAGAAGATTAGAAATCGCTTCTTTATTTTTATCTTTAGATATGTATGTATGTATGTATGTATGTATGTGTGTGTGTATGTGTGTGTATGTATGTATGTATGTATATAT